GATCATCGCAACGTGGAAACAGCCCAGTCCCAGTCCGGGTCTGGCAGGACAGCCCTGATACAGACACACAGGTAGGGAATAGGGCACCTGCAGCCCTGGTCTGGAGTTGTGGCTGCCGGCAGGGAGAGCAGCCCAGCCTGATCTGGACACGCTTGGAGGGTGGGCCTCATCTCCTTTCACTACAATGGCCCGACTGAGGCTGGAGCCAGCCCCATGACGCTTCCAACACGCCCCACCAAGTTTTCCAACCCGTAAGCGAGCCCCACAGCCAAACGCCATGGCTCTACAGGCCAGATTTGGCTAGTTGGATGGAGCAGGAGCACCTCTACGTCAGAAATGGATTGCTTTGGTCTGACTAGAGGATGCACGGAGGTCCCTTCCTTCACTGCGCCTCTTCCGGGGCTCCGCTGGGAGCGAAATTGCCAGGGCGATGCTTGACCAGCTCAATCCTCCTCGACGCACTCAGCATAACGTGCGCACGCACCCAACCAGCCGCGGCGCAGATCAGCAGCCAAGCCCCGCCCCTCAGCACCGCTCAGCTGGGAGCGGAACCATGTCGGCGACAGGGGGGAAGGAGACGTTCCGCATGATGCACACTGTTTGTTCCGCCGCGAGGAGGCGGAGCCACGTACAGAACAGGGCGGGGAGAGCTCGCGCGACTGACGTGGTACGTTCCGCCCGTTGCAGTTGCGCGCTAGCAAGATGGCGGCGCTGCTGCCGCGCATCGAGCAGCTATCGGCGCGAGTGGTGCGTGTGCTGGGCTGCAACCCGGGACCCATGACCCTGCAGGGCACCAACACCTACCTGGTGGGCACCGGGCCCAGGTAATGGGCACTGGCAGGGCTCCCTCCCCCTCCCCTCCTTATGGGGCTCCATCTCCTCGCCGGATGTGCGAGCCGTGACGTCACAGCGCTGGCCGGGGTGGGGGAGCAGCTGGCAGCAGCGCATGCGCGAGGTAGCGAGCCGGGGTCACTCGGGCCAGTGGCGGAGGGTGGGCGCGAGGGCGGAGGCTGGGCCCTGCTCCCGGGCTCCGCCTCAGGCCGTGGCCTGGTTTGAAGCCGGATGGGCAGGCTTCGGTTCAGGCTGGGCTGGAAGAAGGGTCTCTGCAGGATCCCTGTGGCTGCAAGACCCTGGCAGCACTGAAGAAGGAAATTTGGGTATGGCTCCTGCAGCCCCAGTAGAAAATACCCACTCCTGCAATTGAGATCTCCCCCAAGCCCAGCCCAGCCCAGCCCAGCCCAGCCCATAAGTAGCTTTTCCAGCCAGGCAGGTGTGCTGACTGCCCCTGGGGTATCCGTCACTAGGAGAAAGGCATCTCTCAGGGAGGCTAGTGCCATCTCTGTGTTCAGGGCTCTGTAGGTTATAAAACATTAAGCTTTGTGCTAGTCTTCTCTTAATTCTCAGGCTGCTTCTTTTAATGGAATGTCTCTGCCTTCTTTTTTTTAAATGTAGAAGGATCCTCATTGACACAGGAGAGCCAGCAATACCTGAATATATTGGCTGTTTAAAGCAGGCGCTCAATGATTTCAACATCTCAATACAAGAGATTTTAGTGACACACTGGCATGCTGATCACACTGGTGGCATCTCCGACATATGTAGAAACATCAATAAAGGTAAGCAGAGGATTAATTTTTAGGTGCTGAAGGACCGTGGCTTGTTAGGTATGTGGCCAAGGAACATCTCATTAGGTGTTTTGTAAGCCTGTTAGCTAGATTTTCTGTATGACCTGTACACTGTATTTAAATATTTGATGGCATTGCTGCAGTGCATAGTGTAAGTGCAGTGAATAGCACACATATTTGATTTAGTCACTGCATTTCTTCTTCCTATTAGCATATGTCTGTTTGGAGGAAAGAAGCTTCATTCTACCTTCTTCTTATCCTAGAATGATGAGAGAAAAATCTAGTTTAATATTGATAAGTCACACAATAGTAGGAGGTTGATAGTGATATCCAGTACCATCTATAGCGTGTTGATCATTATTTTCACTTGAGTAGCAAAAGTAAAACAGCCATTCAAATTAGGGAGATGTATATAATTTAAATAATTGCCCATTTAAATTTTCTAATGATACTGCTTAAACAGTTAACCAATAACAAGGGACCTACTCAAATCATGGTTTCACGATTATTGCAGAAACCGCAAAAAATCAGTTTCCACAGTTTTGCCTAGAATCACTGAAAAAACACCCCTAAAAGTAAAATCCTGCTCCCCAGTGGAAAATATACTTACTGCTTCCCCTTTCACATCCCTAATTCATATGGCTTTTCCTGAATAATAAAATTCTTTAAACCATTTGCAGTTGGCCCAAAATTATCACATTTTTTCACATCTACCCTTACCAGAAATGAACAGTATATCACGTTGATACATATTAAGCTAGACTTTTAAAATTCTAATTAATTAATTTTTTAAACAGTGAAAGTTGTTTTTTTTTTTATAAACTTGATGAACAGCATAGAGAATACAGCCCCTTTCTGTTGTTTTGGGAATATCTCCCACTACTCTTTCCAGGAATTCCCAAATGCTGTTGGAAGTGATGGTATATTTGTGAACAAGAAACAGGTTTTGAAAATTAAACCAGTAACAGGTTGTAAAACTTCAAAATGAAAATTTCTTATTTTTTCCTAAGTGAAATTACTATTTCTTGTTTTACCTACCAAAAATAGTTTGGCACATCTGTCCCTTCAGAGGTTTTCTTTGGCATTTGAACGATTCTTCCTATGTGGCTATAAATTAAGTTGCTCTATTAACATAAGATATTTATGTAAATTTTTTATTCTTTAATTTTGCATGTGCTGTAGACCATGTGTTAATGGTACATCAACTGTCATTTTGAATTTTTATGAAATGGCCTTGTTTAGTCAATTACCAATGTTTAGACAGGAACAATCTGAAATATAATTTTACCTTTTAAAAATAGGTTCCAAATTTTGCATTAGTAAGCTTCCACGCAGCCCACCTCGTGAAGAAATAATAGGAAGGGGAGAACAAAAGTATTTATATCTGAAAGATGGAGATGAGGTAAAGACCGAAGGAGCCACTCTCAGGTAAAGATAACTTCTGTGCAAGTTAGCTGTATCATTTTTAATACTATGTTATAATTTTTTTCATGATTCTTGAGCTGTTGTGTATACTAAGTTTGATCTTAACCAATGATAAATGTAACTAGGGGCCAAGATGTGATATTGTCTGCCCTCCCCAAAAATAAAAACAGTTCAGTAGATATTAACTGTATCTATAGAGTTTTATACTGCTGCCCTTTGCAGTAGAATGAACTGATTTTTAAATTTAATCATCATTTTAAAGTTGATCAGTGTTCATGGTAGACTTCTCAGAGTCTCTAGTGCTTGTTTCTCTTTAAGGTAAAAACCTCCGTTAGTGTGTTTATTTTTGTTACTTGTAATATCTTTTAGCTTCTGTTTGTTTCAGCACAATTTTATCTGCAGTGAAATTAGATTGATTAGTTATTGAGATAACTCATCATCATCGCTGTGGCCTTAGTCAGTGCACTGAATCCCCTATAGAGTGTTCTTGATTTGTGCACAAAATACTGGGTACACAATGGGATTTGTTCCTGGTAATTCGGCAGCTTAGAAGGTACTGACCTATGCTCTCTGTGGAACCTGCCAGGTCAGCTGATGCCTACAAATTGTTTGATGCTTTCCAGCTTTTCTTGGCTCAACAAAACATCCATGCATTCATTGCTAAAATAGAAGATAATTCCAAATAGTAGAACAGTTGATAATTTATATACAAAGCAAAAATGTTTGATGGTTTTACTCCATCATAGTCATGTAATTGTTACATAGTGAGCTTTCTGGGTTTTTTATACTACAAATTGGAAGATAAACATTTATATAATCATACAATTCTCATATTGTGAACTAAGGTGCATATGATTTGCACTCAGAACTTTTGTAATCTGCTTTTTTCTTCTGTATAGCAAAATCTTTCTTTACTATGTTTGGACATATATTTTGCATACTATCTCACGAAAATTTGGATATGGTCAGTTGCACATTAGTGATATCTCCAAAGGTCAGAACCTGGTATGATGAGATGGTGTAGCTGGCATCTATGAAGAGAAAAATGTCTTCCAGATGTAACTGCTTTGAAAAATTAAATGCAACTTGGAGAGAGTTCTTAGACTATTTTGGCAACCAAACCAGGAGTCCTTGCACACCTATCTCTTCATTTTTTATCTCTCCCTCTTCCCTCCTTCCTTACTTTTTTTTCTTTTCTCTTTCATTGTTTCTGACAGACATGTTCAAATGATATGTACAGTTGAGATATGTGTATTTTTATTTTTGTATTGCATTTAAAAATCAATAAATATTTTAAAAAATAGAAAATGGCTGGCTGCTGATAATTAGTTAATCATTGCCACTCCCCTAGAATGATGAGTTACCAGATTTTACTGTACTTGGGAGGTTTTGGTAAAAAGGCAGGTGCAGTTTTTTAAGTACAGTTCTTATGGTGGAAATACCTTTTCAAAGATGATACAGTGGTACATTGCTACAGTCACAAACTTATTTATTGATTAGCTTTATATTCTAACCTTTCCAACAGGGCATCTTACAGTAAGACCATAGGATCATAGGAAAGTAGGGCTGGAAGGACCCATCTAGTACAGTCCCTTGCTCAAGGCAGGATCATGCCTGATAAAACCAGCCTAGACAAGTATTTGTCTAACCTGCTCTTGAAAATATTCTAGTATTATAAAAAAGCCTCTGTCTGTCTGTCACGCTTTATTTACACCCTGGTTGGCTGTCTGAAACAACCAGTCAGAGTGCTCCAACAGTGTTCCAGACAGACAGCAGCTGAGCACCACCATGATGGCAGGGATGGAGCAGGGGTGTGAAGGGAGTGCTGCTGGCCTCTTTTCCCCCCACCCCTGGCCTTGCTCCCTGGAGGCAGTGGTGACAGATTAGACAGGAAGTTCATTCTAATCACCAACCTAAATTTCCTCTCCGTCCCCCATGGTCATGTAGAAAAACTCATCACCATCCTGTCTATAATCATCCCTTGAGTATTATAATAAATAATAGACATGCACCTAGAAATTACCATACCTGAGCTGGAAACATATCTTAGACTGCTCACTCTCACAAGATTAGAGGCATGGGTAATCTCCAGTGGAATGTTGATGGGATTGGCACATGAAATAGCAATTCCTCTAGTATGGATTTTTCAGAACCTGTCAATGCAGGGAGAGAGTACCTTATGACTAGAAAATAGTAAATGTAGTGCCTGTTTTCAGGAAAGGGAGAAAGAATGTTGTCTGAACAATTATAGGGCTGGCAGCTCAACTTTAATAGTACTGCCATACCAATGGTACCAACACATACTGGAGGAAAGGATAGGTAAAGATATGGAAGGAAGTGGCAAATGGAACAAAACACAACTTAGGTTTACTCAGAAGATGATTATATCAGACTAATTTAATATCATTCTGTGCTAAGGTAATAGACTTTATGGGTAAGGGCAGTGCAGTGTATTTAATTTATTCAGAACAGGAGTGTCAAACTTATGGCTAGTGGGCCGGATCTGACCCACAGAATCCCGCCATCTGGTTTCAGGTGCTACCTCTGAGTCTGATCAGACCCACATGGAACAGAGCATGCACCTGTGACCCCTGGATCTGATCAGACCCAGACGATGCATGACACGCGTTTGTGGTACAGATCTAGTCTGCAGACTTGATCTGGCCCATGGACCTCCCTTCCCCACAGCATACTTGATCTGGCAGCCACTCCAGCTGGTTTTGAAAAGTGCTGTGTTTTATATGGATCCTGGATTGGCTGGAACAGGCAGCACATGTGGTACAGTCTGGCCAGCTCAGCAGCTGTACTGCATGCAGTGTCCACCCCAGCAGCTCCAGGACTATGCCACACACGGTACCTGTTTCAGCCATCCTGGGGCGCATGCTACATGCGGTGCCTGTAAATGCTATGTGCAATATATATGATTTTTTTATCACAGAAAACCAGGATCCCTAGTTATAACCCTCCCCCACCACTTATTGGTTGGGGCCCAGCCATGCCCCCTTTCTACCTGTTGAGGACAGGCCACACCCCCCTTCCCACCCCCTGCAGGGCTGGGGTGGGCCAGCCACTGTGTAGTTGGCTTAAGCTTCTTTCCCCTGCCAGGCTGTATTGAAGTTGGCCTGCTCCCTGCCCCCATCCATATGGCCAGATGGTGCCTGCCATGCCAACCCCAGGCATTGGATCGAGAACATTGGATCTGGGCTGAGGATGGAATGGGCACTGCCCATCTGGCCTGCTGTGGAAAAACATGGAGCACCACTGGTATTATAAGACTGAGAGTTCTTGTGTACAATTGGTGCACATCGTATGGAGTCCTGCAGACTTCATTAGGCTCTGAGTGACTTAATGACAATTTGGTATATCATTTGCATGCATTCTGTTTCCCAAACTTTGGTCAAGAGCAGAAGAGGTAAAGGAAAAGAACGTAAGAGAATAATTTTAAGAAGTGCTAGGAAGACGGTCAAAATAAGTGGTCTAAGGATTTCTTGGTGGTTTTTTGCCACTTGGGTCTAATTTAGGACAAAATGGGCACATCTACACATACATTAATGTGCTGTTGTTACTGCGCATTAAGTTTAATACCTGTAATAGAATAAATGAGTTGGAAGGGACCTAGACAGATCATTGAGTCCGACCCCCTGCCATGGGCAGGAAGGAGCCCTAGGGGTGGGAGGGGT